GCCCCGGGGCTGCTCTGAGGCCTCCTGCACCCTGAGGCTGTGCGCAGGGAGGTGCTGTCTGCAGGTCCCACTGGTCCTGCCAGGCTGGGTGATGGCGGGAGCCTCCGTCCACMGGTGCCGGGGCCCCAGGTGCTTCAGTAGACAGGGACAAGCTGGAAGTCTCTAGGAGAGGGGATGCCTGAGGGGCCTGGTAACGATTAAGGACTCACCAAGAGATCGGGGCCATCAGGTTGATGGGTTGGCACAGAGGACTCCAGGGAGTCAGCCACCACCGACAGCCTAAGGGGAATGTACCTTGAAACCAGGTGGGCCGCCGTGGGCCGCTCTGTCTGGAAGGGCTGCAGGTCCCAGGGCAGGAAGGGCTCCAGCAGGGGAATGTGGCAGGAATGTGGCATGGAGGACACCCACCGCCGTATGGGTGGTGGGCTGGATGCTGCACAGGTCCCTTTCAACTCTGGGAGCCTATGAAGGGCCCACAAAAGAGAGGGGGTCTCCTCAGTTGTCATCATCTAACACCTGGGAGGCAGGCGTGGAGGGAAGAGATGACGGCCTGCCACCATCCAGGTCTGCCATGGAGCCTGAGGGGTCCCCTGGGAGCCCCTTTGTACCCTGCACATGTGGAGGGTGAGAGCTGCAGATGGGGGCACCCTCGCAGGAGCCCAGGCTGAAGGCCTTGTGCTTGGACCAGCCCGGTTGTCACCCAGGGGGCTCTGAGCACGAACAGTGAGGGCGGCTTGTGGCCCTGAGAAGGAACCCGGAGTGCCGGGTGTCTGCCGGGGCTTTGTGAGGCTCCCCAGGGCCCAGAGTCTTTTTTTTGGGGTGCAGGTGTCTGGCCCTGGGCACATGTGGACAGGTGACTGTGTGCACAGGTTCCACAGRACACATGTGAGGATGTGGTTCTCCATGAAACAGAAGATTTGCTCCCATTAAGTCTGTGTGTGCACAAGGGTGTGTGTGTGTGCACACAGGAGGCCCCTTCATGTACAAGGGGCTAAGATGGGACTTAGAATTGGGAGAACTGCACTTGGGTCCCAGCTCTCTGCTTCCGGCTATGGTCTTGGGCACATCTCCGTCACTCGGGGCCTCAGTTTCCCACTGCAGCCAGCCGTTGTCACCATGTTGACAGATTAAATGAGAAAACGGAGCTGAAAGGGCTCCTGGGCAGAGCTGGTTTGTTTGCACACGTCTGTGCGCGGTTTATTCATTCTATAAACGTGGGGGCCTCCCCAGCCCGGGGACACAGCAGGGAACCTGGCTGGCGTGGGGCCTCTGGTGGAACTCGGGGCGGTGACAGATGGCAAGCTTGGTCCTGTGATTATTCCATCACACTTGGGGCAGAGAAAATCCGAGATGCTCTGAGTCCATGCACATGTGTGGAGGGTAGACTCTGGCCCACACGTGTGTGCCGCATGCAGTCCTCTGGAACAGCTGTGTGGGTGTGTGGCAGGTCAGCTGTGTGGGTGTGTGGCAGGTCGGCTGCTGCCCCATGTCTTTGTGTCAAAGGACAGGGTGGAGGGAGAGTGACAAAATGACTTTCAGTTGTTCTAGGGCGGCCGGGCCGGCGCTGCAGCAGCCAACAGTATGTGGATGAGGTCAGCGCTTAAGATAGAAAATCAACGAAACCCAGCTGTGTGTTTGGAAAAAAAAAAAAAAAAAGAAAAACAGGTGAACTTCCTGCTGCAGGTCGGCCGTTTCTCTGTTGGTCTGTTGTTGTTGTTGTTGAACGTGTCACTGGTGTGATGTCATGTCTTAGGAGTCCTGTGATCTGCGGCTCACTCCGGTATTTCTGAGCTGATTTGGACTTTGCTCTGAAATCCACTCCCTGCCAAGGCAATAAACATGTTTACAAGAGCAGCCGGGTTTCCACACGAGGAGGGTGTGCTGCTGTCTCCGGGTTACAGGTCTGGGCCAGGGTGGCCTTCCCGCACTGTCAGGCCGAACATGAGCCCCTTGAGCAGAGAAGAGAGGTCTCAGAGGAGGAGCAGTTAGAGAGGCAAGGGAGACCTGAGCTGGGCTTGGTCACGGTCACCTGGGGAGAAGGAAGTGGATGTGAACCCCCCCTTGAGGGAGGATGAGGAAGGGGAAGGAGTCTGGGTCTGGGTCTGGATGGAGGAGGCCTTGGGAGATCCTGGGACACCGCATCACCAGGGAACTCGCATAGCTCAGGCTGCGGGTGAGCCCCCTGTGTCTGGGGCTGCAGCAGCTCCTGCTCGGCTCTCTCCTCATCTTCTCTCACCTCCCTCTGAGTTTAGGACATTAGGGAGCAGTAGCCGAATTAAGGCGGTTTTCTTGAAAAAACATCAAGGAGRAAAACCGTTTGCGGGTGGAATTTGACTGATGCTCAGATTAGAAGTAGCATCATGTGCTCTGGAGGAGGTGGGAGGATTCTGCCCTCACCAGCAATGGTGGAAAACGTCTCCATGGTGATGACAGCCTCTTCAAAGAGYGCTGCGCCTCTCCTCCCCTGAGCGGGGTAAGGATGCTCTGGCCCCCTGTGGGATGGGCCCCCTTGAGCCAARTTAGCGCAGGGAAAAGAGGGGCTGAGCGGAGCACGGACGTCCCGTGTGTTTGGCTGGTTTTATAATCTCATTATTGAACAGCTCCTCGACCAACTCTGTGCAATTTGCCCTGATCATAGGAACATGCAGAAAAAGCCGAGAGAACCTGACACTGTTTAGTAAATATTCCTGACTTCAGCTTATTTGAACTTAAAATCAAATGGCCCTTCAAACGAAATTTACTTTCTTTTAAGACCATGTGTTACCAAAGAGGAGGACAGGAGGGGACAGAGCATGGCCTTCTGCAGTGCTTACCTCCCCAGTACCACTTACGGGAAGACCAGAACATTCTCTTTGAGGCCTTATGCTGCACCCTGACCAGGATTGTATCCCTAGCTCCAAGCAAATTCCCAGTGCATTGTGGGTGCCCAGGACATGTTTGCTGAAAGAAATAAATGGGAACAAAGACAAATATTTTCCTCTCCTTATCCCACCTGAACTGTATTATGGAAGAATAGAAGGAAGCCAGCCTCTAAAGTGTTCAAGAACATTAGTCAATTTCCATGTAAGCAGAGGCCTGTGTCTCTAAAGTCTTGCATGGATCCCAGATGCTCCTTTTTTTTTTCTAAATTTTTTTAGTTGTTAAGAGACCTTTATTTWATTTATTTATTTATATGTGGTGCTGAGAATCGAACCCAGTGCCTCACACATGTGAGGCAAGTGCTTTACCACTGAGCCACAACCCCTGCCCCCAGATATTCCTTTTAAGGAACATTAAACAACAAATACAGCCTTCCAAATTGCCTGCCTCATCCCTGGCCCAAGTTCTCATTTTCTCCAAGGTAAACCACTTTTTTTGGGAGAATGGGCGGGTACYAGGGATTGAATTCAGGGGCACCTGGCCACTGAGCCACATCCCAGCCCTATTTTGTATTTTATTTAGAGACAGGGTCTCACTGAGTTGCTTAGCGCCTCACTTTTGCTGAAGTTGGCTTTGAACTTGCGATCCTCCTGCCTCAGCCTCCCCAGACACTGGAATTATCACCCACTTTTTATGGCCAGCAATGTTGGGACACCCAGTGGGGACACTCAGTAGCCTCTGACTGCAGCAGTCTGGGGCTGCAGCAACGTCCAATCCTTGCTCCCCAGACCGGGGCTGGAAGGAGGGAAGCCACCCTGAATGTCACTGTCACCTTCCAGTCTCCCTGTGCTTCCCTGGTTCTTTCCTACCCTTTGTGCCCTCCTCACGTTCCCCTGGATCCTGCGCAGATGAAATCGCAATTGTAGAAGCCTATTTTTTGCTCCTGTGCTTGCTGGACACGTACATAGAAGGCATTTTAGAGTAAATGAATCAGTTGGTCAAGGCAGGGGATGTGGCATAAATGCACAATTTCTATCCCATGCTGCTAAATAGTCCTTAGTCCGTGGTAAAGCCACAGTCCCAAAGCAGAGGAGGCAACCTGGGGACCTAACTCCACGGGCATCCCTGGCAGCTCAGGTTCGGGACTCAGAACCATATTTCATTTTTCTTTTTACTTCACCAAAGGGCAAAAGGGGTTCTGGGCAACTTTGGAAAAATTGGGAAGCCCCAGGAATTTCATATTAAAGACACCTAAATGGAGTGCAATGGGCTCAGCCCACCTGCCCAGGGTGCTTCCAGGAARAGGGGTCTCTCATCTTTCCAGTGGCAGCTGCTTTGTCCCAGGGTGGAAGGAGGCCCCTCGGGGGCAGGGGAGGGACATGTTGGGACATGTTTCTAAAGCCCCGTTGGCTGCAGAGGGCAAGTGGCTGAGAGGACAGTCCAGAGGTGGAGGCTACCATCCAGGTCAGCACAGATGGGGGGCTGGACAGATGTGCTTTGAAAGTGAGGCCTGCAGGCTTTGCTGATGGGCCCAATGTGGGAATGAGAGAGAGAGAGAGAGAGAGAGAGAGAGAGAGAGCAGTCAGGGACAATTTCACATAATTTCACATTTTGGGCCTGAGCAGTTGGAAGCACAGAGATACCATTGACTGAGCGGAGATAATCCTGACAGCAGGCGGCAAGTCTGGGGCATGTTTCAGATGAGGACATGAGTCAGTTGTGGCACGAGGCACACGTGAGCTGCCTAAGCAGCCGGACTTGGCCGGACTCCAGGGGCATTTGTTCCCTGTTGCTGCTGTAACAAAATTCCACTCACCMAGTGGCTTTGGGACAACCCGGATTGTCTGCAGAGTCCAAATCCAGGGTCCAAAGTCAGTGGACTGAATGAAGGCGAGGGTGGGGCCCTGTCCTCCGGGGAGGCCCTCCAGGTGCCCCTGAGCAGCCGTGAGGTCTGGTTGTGTCTTCCTCCTAGAGGTTGTTGAGGACTTTAAACAGGACAGCAGCTTCGGGCAAGTGTCACCTGGAGGGGCTGACACGGGCCACAGGAGCGGCAGGTTGCGAGGGTCTTGAGCACTGCTAGCTGACCTTGCCATCTCCCTCTGGCCTTTCCTAAGGGGACTGTTTGTTTTGGTTGTAGCCMGATGGAGACCCCAGGGGGACCACAGAAGCCCTTGGCCTGCAGGAGAGCCCAGTCTCTGGACAGGTCTCAGGCGCCCAGGAAGGACTCTGGGTCGGGGAACTGCCAGTGCCTYTCCTTTTCCACCACTACCTGCCGGAGGCCCCTTCGCCGCACGTCCAGCGAYGGGGCCAGACACTCCGGGATCCCAGCTCAGTCTGCAGAGGCCCAGGGCACCGTCACCATAGCCCTCACCCTGGAGGGGATGAGGGGGCTTCTCCCCAGTGAGCAGAGGCCCCAGCAAGACSCCAAGAAGCACAAGGCCCAGAGGCGGGCCCAGCAGGGGTGGCTGAAGGCCGTGCTGAACTTCTTCCTGAGGACAGGCCCAGAGGAGCCCAGAGAAAAGGCCAGCAAGAGGCCCAAGGGGAAGGAGGAGCCCACAGAACCCCCGGACGGCCCAGGAGAGCCGGCCCTCAGGACGAGAGCCCGCGACAAGAAAGCCAGTCGCAAGAGACACAGTCACAGGAAGCACGATGCTGAGGACCCGGAGGCAGGGCTGCCCAGGACAGAGGCTGCCTCCGTGGAGGAGGCTGACCTGGGCCCAGCTGGCAGCGGTGAGCGGACCGCCTCTTCCTAGTGACCCCTGCTCCACCCCAGGGGGCTCTCAGCTCTGTGGCTGAGGGCCTGAGGTCAGATCCCTGGAGGGACTTCTGTCCCCCCACCGGGTGGCCTGGGGCTGGTGACTCTCCCCTCTGAGCCTCCCCTTTTTTTTTTTTTAATTCACAAAATGGAGGTAAAATATACTAGCTGTGGCCCCCACAAAAGTGCTAGTGAGCGGAGTCATTATGAAGCACTATTGAGTCTGAGGATCACAGATGAGGACAAATGGGAAGGTGGGGGCGGGGGGCGTGGTCCCTATCTGGCCACCAGGGTGCTCCTTCTAGACTTTGGTTCTTGGATGGGCTTGAGCCAGTGGCCGTCCCCTCCAGAGCCTTTTCTTCCTCTTGTGTGAAATCAGAGCTCTGGTCTCAGAGGTGACTTCCCAGCCCGACTCCTAGGACGCGGGGGTGGATTGTCACCCATACCTGGAGGGAAATGGTGCTTTGCCTTTTTTTTTTTTTTAATGGGGAGAAGAGCCTCCAGGGAGATCCCAGATCAGAGGGGGACAATTGAGAGGGACGCCTGGGTGGAGGTGGCCTCTTGGCAGATTTCAGAGTCTTGGGTTCAGCTCCCAGATGGCAGCCACCGGGCCTCATGTGCAGCCAATTCTGCGCTGTTTTCTCAGATGGATTCAGAAAGTCACAGGAACGTCACCCACGTGTCCACTCCCACGCTCACGCCCACCGGCTTTCATCTCTATTCCAGGCGGACACGGACATGATTCGTTTCTGCACCCGTCCTTGCCCATCGAAGTGGGTGGTGCCAGCTTCTCAGGCGTTTCTCCCCAAGCCGCGGGTCCCCAGCCAGAAGAGCACCTCAGGAAGCCCGACCGTGAGTCCATCGATAGTGTCCTTTTGGTCTGTGGTCGGGGGGGCTGTCACCCAGTGAGGTGGAAGGCTCTGCGTGGTCACTGAGACCTCGGATCTCGGTGGCTGATTTCTCTTGTCTCTTCTGCGGCTTCTGGCCACATTGGCTTATTTTAAGAGTCTCCCAGAAGGGAGTCTGGGGATTTGGAAAGGCTGTTGGCAGAAGCTCCTGCCTTATGTGTTAACGAGAGTGGGACTTTGTTTTTAGTCTCTCAAAGTTTATTTTATTTTAAAAATACGTAGAACAGTAGGGACCGGGGGTGCAGCTGGGTGGCAGAGACCTCGCCCTGCAGGCAAGGGGCCCTGGGTTCAGTTCCCAGCACCTCACACAAAAATAAAAATGAACTAAACAGAGAAATAAATAAATAAAATAAAAATATATTGAAGCGTGGTAGGAATATGTGTCAATGCACGCTTGTATTCCCACAGTTGTCTGGCTGTGGGCTTCGGAGGTGTAGGTATGTGTAATTTTGTTGTGGAACCATTTTAGAACAAAATGATCTAAAGACTTAAACCCGCACCGTTAAGAAATAAGGGTGGCGTCCTAGGCACCTACAATATCATTATTGCTTCTTATAAATAAAAAATGACCCCCTGTTCATCTAATTCCCTGTTAAAAATGGCCATATTTTAAAAAGCTAGAAAATGGAGCCAAATCTGTGCTGTTTTCTCAAATGGATTAAGAAAGTCACAGGAACAGTCACCCACATGTCATCTGTCAAAGAATAGCTAGCAGACACTGAGCTAGTTATTGTGTAGGGTATTTAGTTATTTCACAGCGAATTATTTTCTCACCCTAGAGGGAATCAGCTGATTGATTGAGGAAATGAACTAGAAGCCAAATGGGATTCATGAGTGAGAGGGAAGTGACTGAGGGGYGAGAGAAATCCGCAGGTGGCCCAGGGGGACCTGTTTCCATCTCCTGTATAAACCCCTCGGCTGGCAGCCAGCAGAGGACAGTCTGGGCACACTGCCCTTGAACAAGGTCACCAAAGGAAATAATTTCCATCGTTTTTGGCTCCTCCTTAATGATTTGGGCCTTGGGCAGAGACCTGGACACAGTGGCACACRCATACCTGCAATCCTAGCGGCTCTGGAGGCTGAGGCAGGAGGATTGCAAGTTGAAGGCCAGCCTCAGCAATTCACTGAGACCCTGGCTCAAAATAAAAAATAACATAAAAAGGCTGGGGATGAGGCTCAGTGGTTAAGCGCCCCTAGGTTCCATCCCTGGTACCAAGAAAGAAAGAAAGAAAGAAAGAAAGGAAGGAAGGAAGGAAGGAAGGAAGGAAGGAAGGAAGGAAGGAAGGAAGAAAGAAAGAAAGAAAGAAAGNAAGGAAGGAAGGAAGGAAGGAAGGAAGGAAGGAAGGAAGGAAGAAAGAAAGAAAGAAAGAAAGAAAGAAAGAAAGAAAGAAAGAAAGAAAGAAAGAAAGAAAGAAAGAAAGAAAGAAAATGGGGGCTGAGATATAGTGGAGGCATCCATAGGTCTGTGCCACACATCCTGATGTCCTTCTCTCCTTCTCCTTGGTTAGAATAGGGAATTATCATTTTCCCCACTTGAATTTTCCAGGGTGGAGGAAGGTCAGTATTAGGCTTGCAAAGTGTTTCCAAGCCCTGCGCCTCATTGGATGGCCTCTAATGGAGGCAGAACAGGGAATATGTCAACCTTACACAAGGAAAGAGAAGAAGGTCCAGGGAGGGTAAGAGACTTAGCCAAGGTCACACAGCTCGCTGAACTCAAAGTAGATGTTCACAGATTTGTTAGTAGGGCACAAGTGGAAGGCCTGGGAGGCTGAAATTTCCTGCATRTAATATCATGCTTTGGGGCAGAATCCTTCCCTTGGGGATCCTCCCACTCTCTCTCAGGACAGCTCCTGGAATGTGGTGCTTTCCTCCTTCCAACCCGAGGAGCTGTTTTGAGAGGCCCCTCCCCTGATCCAGAAGGCCCGAGCTGGTCTCCTGTCCAAGAGGGTCGTGGAAAGTGCTCTTTGTGCATTTGGAGAAGGTGACAGGGCATGTGCTCTCTTCCAGAAGATGCTGTCATCCAGAGGATCGTGGAATTGCTCAAAAAAGTGGGAGACCAGTGGGAGGAGGAGGTGAGGGGCGAGCATCTGTGCACAGCCCAGGACGCTGCTGCCTCTCCTGGTTCCAGCCCCACCTGTCCTTCCCGCCTGCCCTTGCGCTGTCTGAAGCCTCCATCTGCTTCTCCGGCTCAGCGCTTCCCCCAGCCCCCTAAGTGCTTGGCTGCTCCCCAGTTTTCCCGGGAAGCTCTCCCTCTCTTGGTACTTAGGGGCCTGACTCAGTTTCTGTTTTCTTTCCAGCAACAACTTCAAGTCCCTCAGCTAGAGGTGGCTCTTCAAAACCCCTCCCCGGTCTGCAAGAGGAAGTCCCAGGAGAGAAAGTCCAGCCTCAAGAGAGCCTTTTCTCTTAAGAAGTATGGCCCCGGCCCTGAGGAGTCCAGGAGAGCAGGGGCTGCCGATGTCCCCAGTGCAGAGGCCCGGCCACCCAAGAAGTCCAGCTTTCTGCCCATGTGTGTCGGTAGCCACCGGTCCTCCATCTCCAGCAGCCCTGGTGAGCAACTCTGGCAGTTGCCATAGCAACACTGCAGCTGCCTCCAGCTCTGGAACCTTCCCAGGGCTGGGATTGGCTGCTAGAGGGCCAYGGTCTGTCCTGCAGAGGACAGGGGGAACCCCAGCAGGCTGCCGCTCCTCTCTCAGGCCCGGAACCCACTCAGCCCTCCAGGGCACTGTGTTGGAGGACCCGCCATTCACGTCTCACAGCCTCCGCCTCCTCCTGCTGGGGGGAGGGGTGGGGGGCGCAYAGGATGTTCAGGAAGGAGATGGAGCAGGGATGCAGGGCGCCTGAGCGGTGCTTTCCTTGTCCTCCCATGTCTCTGTCCTCACAGCCATCTTAGGAATTGAGGTTATTGTCCCCATCTTACAGATGACAGAATGGGGCTTAGGGAGGCAAGGTCATGTTCAAGGTCACCTGACTCATTAGCACAGAGCTAGCAGGAGAAAGGATCAGCCAGATTGGTCCTTCCTGGGGGTTGGAGAGGACCAGCCTCATAGGGGGTGCTGGACCAGGGGACTACTGTCCAGAGAGGAACGGGTGGTGCTCAACACCAAGGAGTGGTCCAGAGGTGGGTACCCGGCCCTGGGGGAGGGAGCGTCAGGCACAGTGATTCTGACTGTGATTCTTGATTCATGCCATAGAATTAGGCCCCTTCTCTCTGGGGATCAAGTGAACATGGTGGAGGGGTGGAGCCCAGGGAGGGAGGCGGGTCCCCCAAACCAGGAAGGCCCACTCTCTGAAGGCACAAAGGCTTGGAGCTTGGTCTGGGCCAGTGACCCTGGGACTCAGCCCAGCGCCCAGCTCACCTGAGTGGCAGCAGGGCCTCAGGGCCAGCTGCCAAGGTACCACCTCAGAGTCAGGGCCAGGTTCTGGCCTCTCCGATCCCTGAGACCATTCCGTTCTGCTTCCCAGGCTTGGAAGGACCCGAGGTCCACGAGGCCCTGTCTGCAGATGGGGAGGGCCCAAGTCCCTCTGAACCGCCCACCCACGCCAGATACCAGGGACCCGTAGAGGAGCTGCCGCTAGACGGGGCCTCAGAGTCCAGTCAGTATCCTGCCCCTTTCCACAGAGACCCTTGGGAAAATGCTGGTCTGACTCTTTCACTTGCAGAAGAGAAACTGAGGCAGAGAGAGGCAGTGGCCTGTTCAGACTTCCCATAGAGCCACCTTGGGGCCCAGGGCCCAGGCCTGGACCAGGCTCCTGTTACATGCTCTCTTAAGCATCCCAACCATCCACAGCTGCAGTGAGGACGTGCATGTGGCCGAGGCAGCCAATGGGCGATGGAGGAAAGTGCTGCACACGGCAAGGGCTCCACAGATGGTGTGAGCTTTAGGCCCCGCTTTCAACCTGAGTTCTGACCCCTTCTAGTTCTATGAACGTGGACAGATTGCTTCRTCTCTGACTCAGTTTTCTCACCTGTGAGATGGGCTGATCACAGAATCTTCTTCCTGGGGTTTCTAGAAGTTCTAAATGAATTCAGGCCCACGAGGCCTTCAGGGCAGCCCCTGCTCACAGCCAGTTCATATCAGTGGGGTCCACTGTTACTAGGTGGGCCAGCTTGGGAACAGAAAAGGATAGGGAGTGGGTGGGGCGGGAGGGGGGCTGTTGTGACTTTACTGTTGGCAGCCAGGCCTGGGCTTGTATCATGGTCTGTTCTGAGCAACTGAAGATGCTGAAAATATCTTTAGGATCTCTACTTTTGCTGCCCAGCCTGCCCGAAAGGGAATTAAGAAGGCCTGGCTCTTCTGAGATGAGGGGTGCAGGGTGAGGGGTGTAGGGAGCAGGCCCAGGTGCCTTCTCAAGAGTCCAGAGTCCCTGGTTGGTGRAGGAGAAGGGAACTTGTTGCCAGGAAGCCAGCTCTGCCTTCTGAGGAGCTCATGAGCACCAAGAGGTTCACCCAGGGAGCCCTGGGGTTGGGCGACATGGAGGCTGAGCTCAGAAGACTTCTCTAAGCACTTTGGTCTTTTTTTTTAGACAAATTCATCCAGAAGATCCTTGCCCTACTCCAAGATGCCGAGGAGCAGGAGGGAGAGCAGGTGAGGACCCCAAGCTGCCCCTCCGGCTCCTTTCAGCCCCCTGCCCGCTCCAGACCACCCTCACTGCTCTTCTCGGGGTCCCCCTCTCCAGCCCGAGGGTCTCTTTCCCCAGCTCACCTGCAGTCTCCTCAAGGTCAAGACCCACTCACTTTCCCTCACACACCCCGCCCACAGCAACCCCAAGTGCAGGAGGTGGAGGTGGCGGTGGAGAACCCGGCCCCAGTCTGCAGGAAGAAATCCCAGGAGAAGAAGTCCAGCCTCCGCAGAGCCTTTTCCCACAAGAAGCACAGCTCCAAGGAGCCCAGGAGGGCAGGGACCGTCCCAGAGGCCGGGACACCCAAGAGGCCCAGCTACCTGCCCTTGTGTGTGGGTGGCCACCGGTCCTCCATCTCCAGCAGCTCCGGTGAGCAGGCCTGGCGTTGCCATAGTAACAGAGGCTCCCTGGAGGGCAGGGGGTGGCCTCTGTGTGGCCACGGCCATCTTGCCTTCTGCTCTCTGCTCTGGGCAGAGGAGGGGTGTGGGGTGGAGAGGAGTGAGGACCACTGGTAGGTAGACAGGGGTTCCTTGGCATTTATGGAGTGCCTACTGTATGCCACTGCCGTGCATATCTCATGTAACCTGCTCACAGCCCAGGGGGGTCCGGCTTAGGACCCCCATTTGACAGATGGAGAAAGTGCAGTTTGGACAGAAACCCAGGCTTCCTTCCCGGGCTTCTTTCCTCAATTGCTTCATTCCAGACCGTGGGGAGGCCGAGGGCTTGGTGTGTGGAAGGGGTTAGTTCTCTGCAGAGAGCAAAGGGAGCTCTGTGAACTCCTCCTCGCAGGGTGGGGTGGTCAGGGGACTTCCCGAGGACCTGGGAAGCAGGGCCCAATGACCATAGCTTCTGGTGGGCCTAGATGCCACTCTATGGGGGAGTCTGACTTGGGTGCAAAACACTCACCCCGATTCTTTCACCCTCAGATCCAGAACATTCTGAGTTCCAGGAGCCTTTGGCTGCCGAAGGGTTCCCAGCAGCATCCTCCCAGACCACAAGCCACACACCAGAAGGAGGACCCCCGCTGGAGGACACGTGTGAATCCAGTTAGTGCCACCTGCTCTCCGCTGGGCCGGCTTCCTGGGTGCTTCTCCTCTGCATGGACTCACAGGCTGAATGGGGAGCAGTTCCCAGGAGGGAGCAGAGGGGCCGCTGGGAACCACCCCAGGAGACCCTGGAGCAGGGCAAGGGCAGGGCTCAGGTTGAGAGCACCCGGCTGTTCTGTGAGCTGGAACTTGACCTCCTCACGTGGTCACGTGAAATCCTCGCTTGCCCTGGTCTCCGGGGGTGATATCCTGGMAATCAGGCTCTCCACAGGGGGAAAGCCCCGATTTGTGGCCTTTGTAGATTTGGGTTGTATCAATAATGCCCCTGGCCGATTTCCAGCTGCCAACAGTTTGCAGTGACTGCTCCATCAGTTTCTGCACAGTTACAGTGACCTCTGTGTGAGGCGCCCAGGCCACCACGCCACTAACCGGGTGGGTGGGAGCGTTCCTGCTGCCACAGGAACCATGGTGTGTCCCCTGCTTGCATTCTGATCAGCTACTTTTATTTTTATTTATTTATTTGTTTTGGGCACCAGGGATTGAACCCAGGGACACTTAACTACTGAGCCACAACCCCAGCTCTTAAAATTTTATTTTATTTTTTTAAATTTAAGACAGTGTCTCTCTGAGTTGCTTAGGGCCTTGCTCAGTTGCTGAGGCTGCCCTTGAACTTGCAATCCTCCGGCCCCCTGAGCTGCTGGGACTACAGGCATGTGTCTCTGTGCCCTGCTGATTAGCTGCTTTTAGTCCAAGCTTCCATTCCTGACATTGGGAGGCCTTGGTTTTCCCATCTGTCAAATGGAGCTGGATGTGGTGATCGGGGAGGCAGCACAGGTCAGAGGCCCTTCTATTTCTCTGGAGCAAGCCCAAATAAAGCTCCCACAYGCCAGTGCTGGTTTAAGGAAAGATTTTCTTTGCCTGTCATAACTCATCTGTGCGCCACGTTTTAAGATAATGTACTATTTATATTGGGGGACAGTTGCTGCAGCGTTTGATTGTGGGGAACAGGGTGTCAGCCCACATGCAGTTCCTCACCCTCCCTTCCTTTCCCTAGAGGAGGGCATCATCTGCACCCTAGTGGAGCTGCTCCAGGAAGTGGATGGCGAGCTGGGCGACCAGGTGAGCACCCCTCAGCCCTCCCCAGGTCTCATCTACCCATTCTGGGACCTGGGTTCAGTCCCCAACTCTGGGTGATCTTAGACATGTCTCTTAACCTCTCTGAGCCTCAGTGTCCTCTTTTGTAAAATGGGGGATAATTATCTACTTGAGCAAGTTTAATGCCTACATAGAACATGCCAGAACGCAGGAGGTGAGGCAGTGTCTGTTTAAAATATCACAATGCTCAGTGGCTCCTCCCCCACCAGCTAAGACCTTCCTAGTTCAGATCTTCAGCCCACGTCCCACCACCCTGCAGGCCTCCTTGTGCCCATGTCCCTCCGGCCCCTGGGACCTCCTCTTCTGCAAAGTCCCACCCCGTCCCAGGTCTCATTCCCCATCAGTGTCTCCTGGGATCACCTAACAAATCAGCTCTCTGTACCCAAGTCCTTGTCTCTGGTCAGCTTGGGGGGAACCCCAGCTCCCGTATACCATCATGAAGAAGTAATTGGCTAGAGGAGCCTTGGGGTGGCGCTGGGATTCCCCTGACATCCCTGCACTAGACATTTTACAGACAAGGTCTCCATCCTCCCAAGGATTCTGGGGGTCAGGGATATTACTCTCATTTTACAGATGACCCCACTGGCTCAGGAGGTCACAACTAATCAGGGTCAATTCTGGGTCCAGAGACCTGTGGACATGTCTGGATGTGGGGCAGCAGGGGAGGCAAGGGAACTTAACTGAGGGGCCCAACCCGGCTACAAGGGCTGGGGACGGTCCCTGCGGGCAGCACTAATGGCCTGATTTCATTTCTGCTTCCAGATTGGGCGGCACCCCAGCTTTAAGAGGTTTTTTTACGAGTTCTCGGACTCTACCCTCAGGAAGCTGGTGGCCACCCTGCGCAGACGGAAGACTCACTCGCCCGGTGGGGCCAGGAGCCTCGCCCAGAGACCCTCCCCATATGCCTTTGGCTTGGTCCACAAATTCGCTGGCAGCCACAGCCGCACCATCTGCAGCCTCATGGGCTCCCGGGGCCACTGCGTCCAGCATAACTTCACCCAGTTCCCGTCCAGGGAGGCCCAGCCGGTGAGAGAGGGCGGGGAGACAATGACAAATAGGACAAGGGATGACAGGGCKTGGGCCTCGGGTGGGATCTGCCTGCTCTCTTCTCCCTTGTGTACTCTGTTCGGAACTTGCAGGATTCAGTTCCAATGTCACCTCCTCACTGAGGCCGTTCTAAAACACGACCCCCTGCCAAAAAAAAAAAAAAAATCACTGATTTTGCTCCATGATTAGTATGGTCTTTATTCAGCACTGGGCACCAACTGTAGGTACCTTTGCACATGTTTTGATTAATGACGTCTGCTCCCTTAGCTGGTCTTATTATTTCGTAGGTCCTGCTCTTGGCTTCCCAGTTCTAAGGTTATAAAATTTATATAACAAAAAGAGAGGTTCAATTTCAGATAAGGGTGCCCGAGGTAGACCAGAAGGCTCTGAGGGCTGCTCAGGGCTCAGGAGTGCAGGTGTTTGAGGGAAGAGCRGCTTCACCCTCTGGTGGCCTCTGATCAGCAGGTCTCCTGTCCCCTTTTCCAAGGTCCTTCAGATCGCCCGCTTACYGTCACTCCACCCAGACTGAGTGATGGTAGAAGCTACTGAGTGAGGTGTGATTTTGGAAAAAGCAGATGTGGTCTTTGTTGGTCTTGGACAAACYGACCCAGAACTGCTAGCTGGAGGTCCCCTGGGCAAGCAGTCCTTTTTGCAGTGATGTCACCATCACTCAAAATGCATCTGTCATCRGCCATCCTCTCTTGGGGTTGCCTTTAGAAGCCCCTGGAGAGGGCCCTCTAGAGAGCCAGTCCTACTGCGTGACAGTTGCATCTTGCCAACGCTCTGCTCCACRTGGCTGACTTTCCTGTGGGGACTCCTTGTGACCTTAGACCTCTCTTCTCAGCCTCACTGTCTTCTCTGGAGAGTGGGATGTTCTGGAGAATTTGCTCTCTAGGGTGGGCTAGGGAATGGCTCATACAGAATGATCTCAGTTCTTTGTCAAAGATACTGTGGGAAGATGGGCTCAGTCGCCCTAAACCCGTCCTCTGGTTTCACTCACTGTTCATTCATCCATCCTTCATCCAACCAGCAAGTATTAAACCCAATCAACAGAGATTGACAGGGACCTGTGTGCTTCGCTGTGCTAAGTGCTGCGAGGTGCTCGGGAAGGTTCTGCCTTCAAGGGCTTCACGTGCTCGTGGAAAAGAATGTTGACTGATGACGACATTAAGTAGCAATCAGAAGCCAGAGTGTCAATGAAGCCAGTTGGTCCTGGGAGGCTTCCTGAGAGTCGAGGCTGGGGAGGCTGTAGTGAGAGGGAGGATAGGTCAGCTCTGGAGGCAGGAGRCAGGAGGCTTAGGCAGGAGGGGCTACAGGATCGAGGACCCAGAGGTGGAGCTCTTGCTGGTGTTGGTGGCAGCAGGTGGTCTATGTTTGCAGAGAGGGGCCGACACAACATTGAGGTATGGCTAAAACTTCTGTCCTTCTTCTCTTCCCAGAACATGCCAAGTCCTGAGTGTCAAAGTCCAGATTGAAAGCTGTGCCTTATGCTYAAATGCCCTCAAACTAACAAACTGATTGGCAGCTTTCATTGGAGGCCCTGAAGATGCTCCGTGACACCCCGATCTGTGCTTTCCCAGCAGGCCCGAGACAGCAGCCGACGACACTGTGCACCATGCACCCTTGTCTGAGAATGTACCGAGCCTTCATCCACAGAGCTGGAGGCTCTCCCCCCCTTTTAAAAACATTTGAGACAACGTCTTGCTAAATTGCTCAGGGCATCACTTCGTTGCTGAGGCTGTCCTCAAACTTGTAATCCTCCTGCCTCAGCCTCCTGAGCTGCTGAGATGTCATTTTTATTAGAGCTACATGTGAGTAATTTCCAGGAAGTGAAGGGCTTTGAATTGGACTGAGATGGACAGTTACCCAGGTGTGCACTGCTCAAGAGGACCAGACCCCAGGAGGTACTGTCATAGCCGGAGCCTGCGGATTTATAGATTCAAGATGACAGTTTTTCAGCGGATGGAAGTGAAATGTCTTATAAGGGGCTTGTTTTGTGTTTGCACAATGATGAAGAGTGGAGTGCTAGAGGCTCCTCATCCTACACAACTGAACAGATCCAAAGCTTGAGTCCCATGGATCATTTGCTTCACATCATGTCTCCCTGCGGGCCTGACAGGGCTGCAAACAGAGACCTGACTCCCTTGGACATGGCCTGGGACACGTGGCCATGGGGAGAGGACACTAAAACTTGGAGAGCAAACTTGGTGGATCAAATAGCCCTGTTGGGCCTGTGGCCCAGCCTGAGGGGGCAGGGGAGGGAGGAAGCCCAGGGTAGGGGGGCTCTGGGCACTTGGAGGGGACTGGCCTCAAACCTAAGGCAAAGTTTCCGGAAGTTCAGCCAGATGTATTCTGTCCAAAAGGTTTTTAGTTTTTATGTCGTTTCTGAGGAGTGTGGGGTGGGGTGGGCTATTTATGGATTATTTATGCAGCAGCCTTCAGGAACCCCGTGGTGCAGAGCCAGGTGGAACGGAGGTCAGGAACCTCTGTATCTAGCTTCTCATCAGGAGCCATGTCTTTGGGCTGTCGAGTGGCTGGTGTGAGTCTCCGATGCTGGCATCTGAGCCTCGTTTTTGTACTATATTATTTGATTAAATAAAGAAGTTGGCACAGCAGTGTGATCTGGATTATTCCAATGGAGGCCAGGCAGATGCCCTCCTGCTGCGTCCTTGATGATTGGGTGGGGACGAGGGACTTGTCCCCCGCCCCCAGGCTTCTCTCTGCATCCTCTCCAGGTGTCCCGTCCTTGGGGTGACAACTCACTGAGGCAGAAAAATAAAGGGTCCTGGGCTGGGGTGTCAGGAGACCCGGGATTTAGTCCAGCAGCCCCAGACTGGTGACCTTAGGGACAGGACATGTGCCCTGTTGGACCTGACATTCTGCCACTCCGTGGCTCCCACGGTGGCAGCTCTTTGTGCGTCTGGGGAGATCCAGGTTGGTCTGGAGTCTACATGATCTCTCATCCGTCCTGCACTCTGATGCCCAAATTCTGTCACTTAGCACCAAAATTTTTGTCCAGAAAACATGGTCTCCATAGAAAGCCATCGAATCTCCTTTTCCCTCTGTGACGGACGACACAGGATCTACTTCTCTTCAAACCCTTGAAGGCCCAATTATACTCTAAAGAGATCAGGAGAAGACGGCCTTGAAATCCTCACCTCACAGAGGAGGAAACCAAGGCTCAGAGTGGGCGGGTGACTGGTTCAAGGTCACACAGCCACCCACGACCTATCTTGGTGCCCTCCACCATCTGATCCATGAGATCACAGAGTCAACCCACAGTTACCCAGCACTGGCGAGGTGCCGGGCGCCATGCTGACACTCTGGAATACCAGAGTGTGGCCCCTGTCCTCGGGATGTGCGTGGACCCACTGGTTATGGGGATTTTATGATAGTAGGAATACAGGGGGGTGGACTTGGTGGAGATGATGCATAAGGACGGGCCTCCCTCGCCGTCCACCAAGGCCACTTTTATGAGGGCACCCAGTGCATGGGACACGCTGCTGCCTTGAGAGTCCTTCAGAAGGTGGACSAGTGACCTCAGGACACTTGTCTCTGCTCCATGGTGATTCCTGGACAACGGGCTGGGCAAGGGGCAGCGGGGTCAGGCTGGGCAGGGTGTCACTCAGCAGCCTTGGAAGACAAGACGGTGCCTGGCCTCAGCCTTGACACCAGCAAGACCCCTGGTRTCCAAGGACAGCACAGGGGCTTCACCCATGATCCACGAGCTTTGTTTTATTTATTTTGGGGGGGGGCATCAGGGATTGAACTCAGGGGCACTCGACCACTGAGCCACATCCCAGCCCTATTTTGTAGTTTATTTAGAGACAGGGCCTCACTGAATTGCTCAGTGTCTCGCCATTGCTGAGGCTGGCTTTGAACTCGGGATCCTCCTGCCTCAGCCTCCTGAGCTGCTGGGACTATAGGTGTGGGCCACTGCGCCCAGTGTTGATTCCAAAAAAAAAAAAAAAAAAAAGATAAAAAGGAGAAAGGAACAAATGAGAGTCACCAGCTTTAGCAAATAAAAGTCCAGGGTGCCCAGGTAATTCTGAGTCCCAGATAAACACACGATGATCACAGTAGGGACAGACTTCTAAAAACTACCGATTTGGTGTTAATCTGAAATTCGAATTTCACACCATGCCCCGTATTTTGTCTGGCCACATTGAAATTGATGGGAGAATAATTCTCTTAATTATCYTGAAATCAGGGAAATAAATCAAAGCGAAGGCAAATCTGCAAGGGGATTTATTGATCCTTTCACTGATATTGAAAGCATCTGGGCTCTAAATACAGAACGAAGACAATAATCATTAGTAAGTTCAGTTCTTCTGGGTACCAAGGAATAAGTGTTCCCCAGAAGACAGAACCCCACTTCCTGGGCATCACCTGCCTCTGGACTGCGGAGCACACAGAGGCCAGCCTGGACGAAAGGCCAGTGGCCAGGAGGGCCACTCGGGGGGACCCTCCTCTTCTCCGCCACACAGACCCCCAGCTGCTCCCTTGTCAGGAGCCGCCAAGGAGGCAGAGGACACACAGTCCCAGGACCCGGGCTCTCCTCGGGCTTCTCTATGGGGCATCTGGTCCCTGCAATGGCCCCCACCACAGCCCCCATCTCAGTTCACATCCGCACCCTCCCTCCCTGGGCTCCTGGGCTCCCGGCCCGTGGGCGGTGGTCCCTGGGTTTTGCATTCCTCTCCCACTCCAGCTCCCGTTTCCTCTCCCGGTTCCCGGCTTCCTAGGGAGAGGAGGGGATCCATTGCTTCTGGGCACCCCCCTCCACCACCAAGGGAGGGCTCCCCTCGCCCGGGTTCCACCAAGGACATGGCTTCCTGACTCATTCCCCTGGGGCAGCCCTGACTAGTGGCCAGGCCCCGTGGTGGCCAACCTCGTGGAAGGAAACTGGAAATGTGGATCTATGCTAAGTTATTTATGTTAAATAGATGTGGATTTATGTTATGGGAAGCTTCACGTTATTATTCAAGGGTCCTTTGCGGCTCTCCTGGGAGGTGATGAAAGGGTGTCTGAAACAGTATTCAGTGCCTAAAAGTTCGAGTGGTCCTTGGTGTTTCAGGAAGAGGTGGGGGTGGAACGGCCTCCAGATAGCTGAATACGGTTGTGCGGGTGGTACACTGTGCAAGGGTATGGTGCTGTATCAAGGAGGTAGGCAATTCATAGGCATAGAAATGTCCTTGGTATTGGTACAGATTTCTAGCAGTTGACAGTCAAGATCTTGTTTTAACAAATTCAATATAGCAACATTCCATCTGCTGACAGGTTCTCCAGAAAGGGGTGTCATCTCTCAGTTTCCGAGGTGCTGTATAGACTACGTTGTCCTTGACCATGACCAGGAGGGGGAAGGTGGGGGCAGAAATGAAGTTGGATTGACAGGATCAGGGGTCAGTGGAGCAACCTGGGAGAGGACAGGTAGGGTCTGGCCTTGGGGGACACCCAGAGGGATGCCACACCTCAGGGCGGGCTGTGTTCCTGGATCCGGCTGGGATGAGGCCTGTAGGTGACCCAAACTATGTCGGACGTGGAGAGCAGAGGGAAGTCCAGGGAGCAGGGTGCAGACCTGGGGGAACACATGTGAGAAGAAACAAGATACAGATGGGAAATAAGTAGAAGACCCAAGTTCCAAGACCCAAGTACTGTGTGACCCTGGGCAAGTCACTCGCCCTTTCTGGGCAATGGCAAAAAGACCCCTGCAGAGACCATCTCAGAGATATGCCTGGGCGTAGACTTGCATATTCTTGGATACTTTTCAAGTCTGTGGTTCTGCTGGGTGAGCCCTGCAGTGACTCCCCAGAACCACACCGGAAGCCCAGCCCATTAGCAGGCGCCTGAGCCAGCCTGGCTTACCCCTGCCCTGGTTCCAAGTTCACCTCCAGGCTTCTCCCTGCCTCCAACCTCAAGCTGGGAGTAGCTGCTTACAGACTGTGGGTTCCTGGCTCAGGCCACCCTGTGTGCCTGGAATGGCCCCCGTGTCCTCCATCCCCAGACTGGCTGACCTCTGCTCCTCCTCCTCCTCTTCCTCCTCCCTCCTCCTCACCTCCTCCAGGAAGCCTTCCCTGAGACCCTCCAGCTGACAGGATGAGCTGGCTGCCTCTCCTCTGTGTCCCCTCCCGTCCTAAGCCAGCGATTCTCAAACTCCATCRAGCTCAGACTCACCAGGTGATATGCAGACTGCTGGGCAGCCCTMGGTTCTTAGCCCAGTAGGTCTGGGCTGGACCAAGGTCTCCCAGGTGCCATGGCTGGCCTGGAGATCTGACCTCTAACAGAGGCCGATTTCCCTCCAATGAACTGAGCACAGACCATCATAGCCTCTATGTCCACCAAAGARTAGGGATTAACTGAGAGTTGTTTGAGTAAATAGAAGCCAACAAGCCCAAGGGCACTATGAAAGAAAACTATACTGTACTCTGTAGTAGACAGGCTAAAGTGGACTTGTGACATCAACGCACGCTGTTACTGG